TTATTTGATAAGTTGTTCAATTTAGAATTCAAATTAATTTAAGTTTGACTTAAATTCGAATTTAAATTTGAATTAAAATTGGACTGCAGGATAAAGGATGATTTTCTCTTCCTTCCCTATCCAGTATTGGCGCCACACACAAGGGATGGAAACCCTAGGGTGGCCGGCCACTTAAGGGATAAAGTGTAGGAGATTTTTTTTGTTCCAAATTCAAATAGGAGATAGAGATTTGATTCCTTTTTGAAGTTTGACTTCTACTCTTTAAATATGAGAATGATAGAAATTTGTGAAAATAATTTTTGAAACATAATTTCTGCCCTAATAGTGAGAATGGCCGAATTTCTCAAAAGGAAAAGAGAAGGAAAATTTTTTCTCCCAAAAAATTCCACATCGTGCATGCATTGGTGTTTGTGGAAAATTTGAGCGTTTATTCAAACCTATTTTGTCTCACGTGTGCCCACACACACGTCTACATGGAATCAAGGAATTGACGTGGAAGACTTTGGTTTTCTAAACACAAAGATTGGAGCAAGGATTGTTCGTGGTCAAAGAACTCAAGTTATCATCCGAGTCGGCCTCCAGGTATTTTTCCTAATTGAGTTCTTGACATATAAATTAATGTGATTAATTTATTCGTGCATAAATTAATATAATCTATGGAGTATCTCAAAAGTTTTATGAAATTTTTGTTATACACGATCCGCCTCCCCGCCACGCTTCTGTATCCGAATTCGATTCGGTTTCCAATAATTGGTATCAGTGCGGTCTATAGACGATATTAATTTATGCTTCGATTATTTGATAATCAAAATTGATATATTAAATATGTGATATTTAATTATGTATGTATGTGATGGGTAGGCACTTGCATTTATGGTTGTTTATTTTTATTCATGTTGATGAATGTATGGATGGTGGATTTGGTCGTTAATTATATGGTTCCATGGATCGGTTATATTTATTCATTGATAAAATTATTTGTAATTTAATTCGGGATTAGAATTATTGTAATTCTAGGTTTTGGGTAGAATTAGGGTTTTGATTTTGAATCAAAATGAGGCCTTGAAGATCAAGTTTGAAGCCTTTGAAGATGCCCAAAAATTGGCCAGAAAATTTTCAGAAATCGCCCAAAGGGCGCGCCCCAGCGCACCTCAGCGCATGCCCAAGCGCGCCCCAGCGCGGGGTCCAGCGCACGGCCAAGCACACTCCAGCGCGTACGGGCGCGCGGTCAGACGGTGCGGGCATGCACAACGCATGGCCATCGCACGCGCGCGTGCACCCGGGTGCAAAACTGGCAGCCCATATTTGGGAATTGGACCCAAATGGACCCGAGGGTTTTTGAAACCCTCGTAATGCATGCTGACGGACCCGGAAAAGTTCCGGACCCCAAGAAAGATGAAATCTGACCCGAAGACAAAGAATGAAGCTAAAGAATAAAGAACTCAAGAATCAAAGACTCGTTGATGTAACGGAAGGAAATAATTATTTTAATTATTTATTTATTCGATTGAGTTGTAATTTATTTATCCATGGGACCCGATCAAATCCATCTCAATAGCCGATTGCATATATTTATATTTTATGTTGATAATTATATATTATATGTCCATGCATATAACATGCCATATAGATATAATTGTGCATACTCATATGTTTTATAACATGCCATATATACACGCACATTTATTATTATTTTTTTTATTTAGTATAAAAGGTTTTAGAAAAATAAAATAAAATAAGAACCTTGCGCTAAAATCGATTTAATATGATTAAATTGATTTAAGTTGCAAAATTGATTTGCAAAATAATGTTACATGTGAAATTCAATTTAAGAGTTAAATTTTGGAATTTCACATATCCGAAAAATAAATTGTTTATTTTTCGATTTGAAAACCATGAGATGTTTTTCAAACAAAATACATATTTGCAAAATAATGAGTGGGAGAGGGTTGTATGACAATACGACCCACTAGTCTCCTTCGTTAGCACAACACCGTGAGATCCAGAGAGGAGCTTTGCGGCGACATTGAATTGCCCTCCTAAAGGAGAGTGTTCTTGCCGGATCAATAACAAGGTTGGCTTCCT